GCGCGTCGCCATTCCGATCACCATCCATTCATAAAGTCGGTGAGAGGTGATAAGTTTGAATAAGAACGGGTCGTCCGTCAGTACTCGTTGAGTGGGAATACCCCTCGCGCTGCGCGGTCCCAGACGCGCGGAGTATCTACCTGCTCCAGTGGAGTATGTCCGGTGGACAGCGGCCGGTAGGCCGGCTAGGTTCACGCTGGCCCTGGCGTTCCTGCGGCAATTCCTACAGCATTTCCAAACGCTGACCTCACCATTTACTGGCCATTCAGAAATGGTCTTGATTGGCGTACGCACCGTTTCTACACCACAAGTGTGAACATTTCAGCATTCTATAAACGGTGTGCAGACCATTTGTTAGCATTTCGACAGCGTTCCTACACCGATCGTGACCATTCGTAAGCCGAACCAAAGTGCGCTGCGCTCGGCGTCCACACCATTGCTACACCGTTCCTACACCGATCATGACCATTTGTAAGCCAACCCAAAAAGAACTGCATGCAACGTCCACACCGTTGCTACACCGTTCCTACGCCATTCCTACACCGTTCCTACACCGTTCCCTCGCAGTTCTCAGAGCGATCACGAGCCGCCCCCGGTGGGAGTTGAACCCACGCCCTGGTGGGCCGAGAGCGCGCACGCTACCCCGAACCCACCAGGCTTCCTTGCGACTGCTGGTCCATATGGCTCTCTTCAAGCACTGCGGGAGCTAGCGCTGTGGCCATTTCCAAAATGCTGTGGAAACGCTCTGGAAACGGTCACGAGGCCTTCGCATCCACGCCGTTCCGTCACCATTCCTTCACCGTTCCTAGCCCATTCCTCACCGATCGCACACCGTTCGTGAAATGACCTGCAGACCAATGTCCCACAATTCCATCAGCATTTGAACATTGGCATGCACAACATTGTTCCAGCGTTCTTTCAACGATCTGACTAAAGCGTTCCTTCGCCATTTGGCGATTGCTCTGGAATCGGCGTACAGACCATTTACTGCCGTTTGTAGCCCTTTCCGACTGTCACGGTTTCTACACCATTCCAAAATGGCCTGCAAATGCCGAGAATGGTGTAGAAACGCGTCGAATGCTCAAAGAACGGTCTCTACACCATTCCTAGCCCTGCCAGGAACACCAGGGGGGCTAGGAGGGCTAGGGCAGCGGGAGCTTCTAGAGGTTCTTGCTGGTTTTTGAACCCCCCGGGGCGAATTGGAGGTCCAGCTGTGCGCAACAGAGAGCTGGTTACCGCAGTCTTCCTCATATCGTGCTTGAACTTCAGAAATGGCCCAGGCGAAACTCGGAAATTCCCCCGACACATGTGGTCCATGACACTGGTGACCCGGCCACTTGGCTTGGGGCCGTGGAGCCGCACGCGACCACACAACCCCGGCACTGTCTGCTCGACGGCCAGGGCACTGGAAGGGAGAGGCGGGTGGGTGGTGGAGAGCCAGAGGCAGCCAAAGGGTAAAGAGGCGTCACTCGGCGCAAGCTTGGCGCCAGACTGCCCCTCCGCTTCCCCTCGAGACGGGCGTACCGGCGCCTCGGCACCCCACCCCCCGGACACCCTCTTTAGTCCGCTGCCGTGCTGCCATTAGGCGACGAGGCGATCAAAACCGGAGAACTAGCCGAAGGGCCGCGCGACACCGCGGAAGAAACTCGCCGAAACCGCAGAGCATCGCACCGCGGAGCGCACGTGAGGCCGCAGCACAGTGGGCCGGAAGACCGGTGCAGGTGGTCCAAATACCGGACGGGTTTTGAGCTCCAGAGTCGCTAAATGGAACTCGAACCGAACGTGTGACCCCACCAATGGACTCCTCTCCGAACGAGGAATCCATTGATGGGGTCACACGTTCGGTTTGAGTCCCATTTAGCGACTCTGGAGCTCAAAACCCGTCTGGGATTTTGGCTGCCTCCACCTGTCTTCTGGCCCACTGTGAAGAGTGAGGCCGCAGCGGCGACCGCGGTCCGCGCCCCCGGGCTTCCCGGCCTCCCCTTCTAAACGCCTTCTTTTACCTCCACTAGTTGCGCGACGGGCGGCAAGAGGCGCCTAATCTTGGTGACGGCGTCGTGCAGGGCGTCGCCGGGTGGCGTTGGCGGCGGGGACGCCGTCGTCGTCGGTGGCGGCGGAGGCGGCCGGTCCGGCGGCAGGTCGTCCTCCTCCTCCAACACGTCCTCCAGCTGCTCGGTGAGGGCGTCTATCAGTTGGCCGCGCGTCGCCGCCAGCTCCACCGCCTCTTCGTCGTCATCGTCGTCGTCGGCGTAGTGCACATGCCCGTTCACTTTGACGTCGTGCATGGCGTTGTCCGCGACAGGGCCTATGTGGCCATGCCGTCGAGAGGGCCGCGCGGACACTGAGCGACTTCCATGCCGCCGCCCCGGGGCCCGTCCGCCCGGCACCGCCCCGCCCCGCCGCGCCGCGGGGCCCTAGCCACGCTTAAGCCCGCTGGGCCGCTGCCGGGCCGCGCCGGGCCGCCACATCCCCGGCCAGCTGTTCGCCGTTCTGTTCCGCGCAGTCGTCCTGCGTCCTTATCACGAGGCAGATAGGCGGGAGCGCCGCGCCGGCCCGGACGCAGCCCTTCGAGTCGGCGTTGCACAGTGGGCCAGAAGACCGGTGGAGGCGGCCAAAACTCTAGACGCGTTTGGAGCTCCACAGTCGCTGAATCGGTCTCGAACCGAACGTGTGACCCCACCACTGGATTGCTCTCCGAACGAGGAATCCATTGGTGGGGTCACACACTCCGTTCGAGTCCTGTTCAGCGACTCTGGAGCTCAAAACGCGTCTGGAGTTTTGTCCGCCGGCGCCGGTCTTCTGGCCCACTGCACGCTGCGTGCATGCGCCGGATAAGACTATCATGGGAACCCACGGTAATACGCGACACGCGTGACGTGCACGTCGTCCCCGCGGAGCCGCGGAGCGAGTGAGTCACTAGGGAGCTGCGCGCGCCTCGCTAGTACTTCGTTGGACTGCCCTGCCAGGTCACTGGGTGAACCTAGCGACCCTGCATACTTTCCATACAGGGTCACTAGAGATGAACCACCCGTTTCAAGTTCCGAAGTTGGTCGATTTCGAGCCAGTCGCTTACAGCACGGAGTGTCCATGTCCAGTGTCCGTCCAGTCCACTGCCCGCGCGGCGCTGCGTGTCGACGTGGACCTGGGAGGGCCTGAGTGACTGGCGGCACCCCGGGGACAGGCAGGACGAGGACAGGTAGGTAGGTCGGTCCCGCGGGGCATCGTTATTACATTGTCGGCCTTCGCAGCGTGAGCCTCCAGCCCGAGAAGGGCGGCAAGGACAACGAGGACAGCCGATGACCGCCACTTCGACAGGGTGGGGTACTTGGAGCACACGAAGGAAGCCTCCAACGCACAGTGGGACCAGAAGAACGGCGGAGGCGGTCAAAACTCTCTAGTCCACTGTGCACGTTACTGCTGGTTCGTGTAAACTGAACACCTCAGGTTATCGGTTTCTCGCATGAAGGGCTGGTGTGTCCGATGACCCACACGACCCCAACGCTTTGTTCAAGCGGTCTCTCGGCCACTGCATCGCTTTGAGTTGCAAATGGCGGGCGCACGTAGCAGCGAGCAGTGCAGACCTCGGTCCGAAAGTCTTTTACGTCGCGCTGTCTCCCTCGCACTCATGGGAAGTATACCTATACTCTGACCAGAAAGCGAAGAGCCCTGAGTTCTCGCGGTTTATGGCATCTATCTGCCGCCTTGGGTAGCATTGCAGGTAGCCCTCGACCGCGAGAACCTAGGGCTCTTCGTTTATGCAAGCATGGCAGTTACCGGGCCCGAACGGCAAAGGATCAGTTGTGGTCTAGCCTCTCAAGTTCAAGTTCAGGCAAACGACACCCGGACCCGGAAACAGGCTGCTGCCCGGGCCCGAACCGGCATGGGATCAGTTGTGGTCTAGCCTTGGTGGTCTAGCCTTTCAAGTCAAGTCAAGTCAAGACTTTCAGGTCAAGTCACCATCGGTGCCAAAAGGGTTGCCTGCCTCAGCCTCGTCTAACAAACGCGAGCCCGCGCAGAGCGATCCGCGCATCGTTTTGTCGCTCTGTCTCTCTCGCATCCCTACCGAACGCCCCCACAAGTAAGAGAGAGAGAGGGACAGAGCGACGAAAACACTGTTCGGAATGCACCCGCAGGAAAAAGGCTTTCACGACTGGCGAACTGGTGCGTGGCCAGCACAGACTGATGCCGAACGGGGCGCTCGTCTCTCTGTCTCTCTCGCTCTCACGGCGAGCTCCGTAGGGGTGCGAGAGAGACAGAGCGACGATAGCGGCCCGCGATATCGCCTGCCAACTGCAGGTGAATGAAGGGAGGCGCGGTGGCAGGGGCGCGGCTAGCGCGGCCAGAGAGGATTGGTTCCGCTCGGGGCGGGGGTCACGGCCTCGTCCCGGCACGCCACGGCACGGCACGGCGCCGCGCGGCGTGTGTGCCACACTGTGTGGGCGTGCACATCAAGAGCGCCAAAGAGCACGCCGCGACTCCGGCCAGCCAGCACTCTCAGCCTGCAGACTGATTCCGAGAGTCGTTGTCGTCGCTGTGTCCCTCTCGCACCTACACGGGACGCCCGATGGGTGCGCGAGAGACAGAGCGACGAAAAACGACTCTCGCAATCAGTCTGCATGCTCCAGCGGCAACAGAGTAAACACGCATGGACGTTCTCGTCAGGGACATATTGTTGCTACTGCTTCCACACCGCGCTGTCAATGTGTGTCTCTCTCGCACCCGCAGGGCGTCCCGTACATGTGCGAGAGAGACGAGTGGCCAGGCAGCAGCGCGCATAGGGCGCAGGGCGTGGCACACATATCAGGAAGGGCCGGGCCTTGGCGGAAGGGAGCATGGCGCCTTCTTATTTGCGACCTTGGTCGCCACTTTTGGACCACAACCCCCGCCGGACGTCACGGACGTCGTGACCCGGATAACCCACTTCCTCACCTCCAGAACAACAAGCACCCAATTTGGGCACGGACCCCCACTCTCCGCCTCCGGCCTTGAACCGCACTCACCACTTTCAGGCTGTATATCGAGGGCAGGTATTTGACGATGTTCACGGCCTTCTTGACGACCATCTCCGTCTCCTCGACCGGCTTCTGGGCATTGTAGCCGCCGCCGCGCTGGCGGCCATAGTCCTGGCCGTAGTCCTGGCCGTAGTCCTGGCCGTAGCTGCCGCCGCGGTTGTTGGAGCCCTGCTGGTCCTGCTGCCAGCCGTAGCCGCCCTGGCCGCGGAAGTCCTGCCGCCGGCTGCCGTAGCCGTCGCAGCTGCCGCTGTAGTCCCTGTTGTAGTTCATGGTGTTGCTCGCGGTCGCGGAGCACTAGGCACGCTGCTGCGTCCGACGGACCGCGACGGCGGTGGTCGTCGTGGTCACCAAGAGCGCGGTGGTGGTCGACTGCCCACCATCTGAGGCACCAGATGGCGTCGGGTGTTGGGAAAGGGGCGCTCTGGCTCCACGGACACTCGCGCACACTCTCACACACTCACAGACGGTTGCACTCACTCACACACACTCACAGACGGTTGCACTCGCGACGCGGTGCGCTACAGGCTACAGGTGGCGCCGCTCGGTTCGACCGACGGGCAGGGTTCACCGCGACAAACTAAGGCGTCATCGTCCTCCAGAGTGGAGCAGCGCTGCAGCGCAGCGCCAGACGGTCCGATGGGCTCCCGCGACGCTCCGCGGACCACGGCGATGGTGGGGCCGAAGCACGCCGAAGGTAAGGGGCGTGGAGGTGGGCGCCGTGCCTCCGCGACGCCGCCGCGCCACGCCGCGGCCGGTCCGCCCACACAGCCCCGAGCCCCCCGCAGCCCCCAGCCCTGGGCAATGTCAGGCTGGGCAATGCCGCACCTCGCTGCCGCTGGACGGGCACACAGTGGGCCAGAAGCCGGTGGAGGCGGCCAAAACTCTAGACGCGTTTTGAGCTCCTGAGTCGCTAAGCAGGACTCGAACCGAATATGTGACCCCACCAATGGATTCCTCGTTCGGAGAGCAATCCATTGGTGGGGTCACACGTTCGGTTGGAGCCCCATTTAGCGACTCTGGAGCTCAAAACGCGTCTAGAGTTTTGGCCGCCTCCACCGGTCTTCTGGTCCACTGTGGGGCATGGAGCTGGACAGAGTCGCGGCGCCCGGCGCGCGCGGGATAGGCAACAAGGCAACCCTGCAGCCGTAAGCCGTAGCGGGTGGGTCGCTTCTTTCCTGGACGCCCCATCGTCCTCTCTGTTTACTCGGGCAGGGTTCCCACAATGCACGAAGCTGGCCACTTGAGCCGCCGTCCGTGTCGGTCCGGATGTAGCGTGCGATGCTGAAGACTAGACACTTCGCCACGCTGCGCCGCCCTGCCGCGCCAGAGCCGCTAGCGCACAGTGGGAGTCGGACAAAACTCTAGACGCGTTTTGAGCTCTAGAGTCGCTAAACAGGACTCGAACCGAACGTGTGACCCCACCGATGGATTGCTCTCCGAACGAGGAATTCATTGATGGGGTCACACGTTCGGTTCGAGTCCTGTTTAGCGACTCTGAGCTCAAAACGCAAGTTTTGTCCGCCTCCACCGGTCTTCTGGCCCACTGTGTAGCGCCGCGCCAGCGCCACGCCCAGCAGATGACATCACCGGACCGCCCGTTTTGTTCCCATGCCCCACCCCACCCCACCCTCTCGCCAGATGAAGTACAGAATTGGCGGGCGGACTGGCAGGGGACAGGCATGCAACCTAATTTCGCAGGGCGACGAGTGACACCGGCCGGCAGACTGATGCCGAGGAGTCGTCTCCGTCGCACTCGTGGGGCGTCCTCACTGGTAAAACTAAAGCGTAACTCTATGCTTGAGTCAAGCATAAAGTTACGCTTGAAGACGTTACGCTTGAAATCAAGCATAGGCTAGAGATTCCCGCATGCATTTTGATAGGAGGAATCTTGGCGGATGAGCCTGTTACGCTTGATTTCAAGCGTAACCTGACTACGCTTGAAAACAGTGGGTAATACTACGCTTTAGTTTTACCAGTGCTGCAGGGGTGCGAGAGAGACGTCGCTGCGCACTCACCGAGAAGGGCTGCAGCGCGGGGTTGGTGATGCTGGGGTCGCGGTTGTGCGGCAGCAGCCTGTTGATGAAGTGGTAGGCGCCCTTCGTCTTGCCCACGATGTCCGAGAAGCTCATGGGGGGCTGCGGCCTGGAGAGTCAAACAAACCCCGTGCTGAGTGCCCGGCCGCCGTGGAGGTCGGCAACCCATCCGTCTCGTGGTCCGTGCGTGGTTGGGGCAGGCAAAAGAAGAGGAAGAAAATACCTTCCCGAACACGGCCCCTCATTGGTCCTAGCAGCTGACGGCGGCCGGCCGCCATGTTCGGGAAGGTATTTTCTTCCTCTTCTTTCGCCTAGCTCAAGTCGTCTATTGACATTGGCACGCACAGTGGGCCAGAGGACCGGTGGTGGCGGCCAATCCTCTCGACGCGTTTTGAGCTCCAGAGTCGCTAAACAGGACTCGAACCGAGTGTGTGACCCCACCAATGGGTTCTGTAGTCCTATTTAGCGACTCTGGAGCTCAAAACGCGTCCGGGATTTTGACCGCCTCCAGCGGTGTCCTGGCCCTCTGTGCGCCGAGCTGGCCGAGCTCACCCCGAGGACGCCACGTCGATCACACTTACCTTGGAGGAGGCCGCGGCTTGGGCCGGAAGTAGCGGTCCTTGATGCTGCCCCAGTCGCTGTACCGACCGCCGAGCCCGCCTAGGCCCGCCAGCCCCGCCAGGCCGCCCAGGCCGCCGAGCCCCGCCAGCCCCGCCAGCGGGTCGCGCCCCGTGTTGTCATAGCCGGCGCGGGGCGGCGGTCGCGGCCCCCGTCCGCCGTCGCCCACCAGCGAGTTGAGGGTGCCGAGGGCGTCGTTGAGGGCGTCGCCGAAGCTGTCGCCCCGCAGCATGAAGGACATCGCGGAGGGTCAGGCCGCCGGCCGCGCCCTGTCCGTCAGCCTCTGCGAAGCGAAGAAGGACCTAGTCAGGGGGACGAAGTGTTTTTACAGAGCCTGTGTGGACCTCACAGTGGGCTAGAAGACCCGTGGAGGCGGTCAAAACTCTAGATGCGTTTTGAGCTCCAGAGTCGCTAAATAGAACTCGAACCGAACGTGTGACCCTACCAATGGATTGCGCTCCGGACGAGGAATCCATTGGTGGGGTCACACGCTCGGTTCGAGGCCTGTTTAGCGACTCTGGAGCTCAAAACGCGTCTAGAATGGCCGCCTCCACCGGTCTTCTGGCCCACTGTGGACCGCACGAACTCTAGCCTTCGGCCCTTGGGCCCCACGGCCCTACGCACTTGTTGGCGCTGCCGGCGCTGTTGGCAGGCCGGCGGGGTGGAGAGCGCGGCGTCATGACACTTATCGAGCCTAGGGCCTAGGGCCTAGCACCCTGCGCATGGCGCCACGCTCTCGCTGCGCACCCGGCGTCCCGCCCCGCCCGCCCCGCCCGCCCCGCCCGCCCGCCCGCCCCGCCCGCCCCGCCCGCCCCGCCCCGCCCCGCCCCGGCCCAGAATGCCACCATGGTGCCAACCACACTCCACTCCCCACAGCGGTCCGGCCAACATCATTTCCTCCACCCGGCCGAACCGAACCTCCGCCGCTGGATTAAAACAAGAACGCGCCGCTCGGCTCCACGGAGCACCCCGCACCAAGTTCCAGTCGAACGAATGCCAGCGAAAGCAGCGATGCGACGCCAAGGTCGACGCCGACCCCCAGGGCCGCCCCGGTGCCCTACCTACTCGAGAATAGAGTCACAACACACTGACTTCTTGCAGTGCTGCGAAATACGAAAATAAACCGCGACTGCTGGCTACTGGCGGCGGGCCGCGCCGGGGAGCCGCCAGAGTATCGCCGCGTTATTCGCAAACCTTTTCCGCGCCGATCCGCCGCGCCGCCAACGAGGGCCTCGCCGTCAATGGCGAATCGGGCACCAGCACCACCAGGTCGCCGACGACGCGAAGGGGCGCGAGTTTGGCGCCAACCCGGACGCGGCGCCGGCCTTCAGGTTGAGGTCCGTTCGGCGGGTCCTCCCGCACGTGGACGACGTGGACTCGGGGAGTAATCTGTTGCGTTCGGCGTCCGGCCGTGCGTCCGGCCGTGCGGCCCGCGCTCGATAACGAACTGTCACGATAAGGCGCAGCCCTCCAAGGCCGGCCAGCCGCCACCTTTCGCTTCGGCCCTTTTGCAGCCCGGTGTTTACGAGTCGTTCAACCCGTTCATTTCTTTCGGCCTTCGGCACCACCACACTGTCACCACTATCTCCGGGCGTTCACGACCATTCGAGCGTCACACAGTGGGCCAGAACACAGGCGGAGCCGGCCAAAACTGTAGACGCGCTTGAGCTCTGAGTCGCTAAACAGGACTCAAAACCAACGTGTGACCCCACCAATGGATTCCTCGTTCGGAGAGCAATCCATTGGTGGGGTCACACGTTCTGTTCGAGTCCCATTTAGCAACTGTGGAGCTCAAAACGCGTCCAGGATTTTTACCGCCTCCACTGGTCTTCTGGCCCACTGTGCATCAGCTGGTCGCAGTCAAGGTCGTAGTACGCACGACACGTGCATCCTTCCATTCATTCGTTCGTTCATTCACTCGCGCAGACCTCGGACGGGACCCCTACCGAGCCAGGCGAAGGCACCTCGCAACTGGTGGGCCAGGACGTCGGCGAGACACTAGGCCGAGGCTGTGCCACCGACGACGACGGGGGCGAGGCGGGGCGCGGCGGGGCGTGGCGGGGCGTGGTGTCCGAGTCCCAGAGTGCCCAGGGCTCGGCCGAGATGCCCCCGCGAGCTCTACGGGGTGACTTCCCCCCGGTAGCGACTCAGCTCGGCGCCGCGCCAGAGAAAGAGAGAGAGAGAGAGAGAGAGAGAGAGAGAGAGAGAGAGAGAGGGGGGGGGGGAGGAGAGAGAGAGGGGAGAGAGAGAGAGAGAGAGAGAGAGAGAGAGAGAGAGAGAGAGAGAGAGAGAGAGAGAGAGAGAGAGAGAGACACGCCACGCCCCTGCTCTACGGACATCATCGTCCTTCCTAATCCTAAATAAAAGTAGCTGATCTGGTTCGACGTCCGTCCTGCAATGCGTCCACATCCCACTGCATCCCACGTCCATGCTCTCCGACGCTTTGCATTCGAACCTCTGCCTTGCCTTCCACAACCCTGCGAAGTTTGTCTTGTGGTGTTGACTGCACGTCGGAAGGCATCACTTTCTTTCCGAGCCATTTTGGCGCGAGTAGAATCTCGTTCGAACCGTTTGAACCGAGAGAGAGGGAAGTGACCACAGCACGGAGGGAGAGCCACCGTAGTTCATCCCGTCGCCGCAAGGCGCGCTAGGGGCGCTCTCGGCGCCTTGTCGATGCTCTCGCTGCCAACCTCTCCTGTTTTCATTTAATTTTCAACCAAGAAAAAATAACGATTGACGCAGGTGGAAAAATTAAGAGGTTTTGAGGAAAGAGGTGAACATTCCCTCTGCTAGTTCGCCCTCCGTAACACTTACCGTGATGTCTCTGTAGTTGGCAAGAGTGATTTTGTGCGTTGTTGATAAACAGACATGGCGGCCCCAAGCAACAGAGGAACTGGTCGACGTTGAAATTTTCTCAACCGAATCGGAGATTTTTAGAAATGTGACGTGCTTGTCTTGTGCCAGTAAATAGCGAAGCTCATCTAGGCAATGGAGTCTGGGGAGGACACCCCCTCGATTGAAACGTCGGAGCAGGGCTCCGAGCGAAGCGATAGCCCTGGTTGTGATGACCAGCTATTTAACTTTCCTTATGCTCCTACATTTGAACCAACGGCTGAAGAATTTCGCGATCCTACGGCATATATCAGCAAGATTAGATCTGAAGCTGAACGCTTCGGTGTCTGTAAGATCAAACCCCCTGAAGTGAGTACCTACCGCAGTGTCCCCTTTAACCTGTACCTATCAAAGTTTGACAACAAACCATTGGTTGTTCCTCTATGTATACAGCCATTATCGGAAATTACACCTCATATATTTACCTTCTTTTATTTAATCTTAACTTTTTTTCATTAATCTCGAGTGAGTTCTACTTCAAAATAATGTTTTGGCCTAGTCTCGACCCAGTCTTTGTTCACCTCTTTTTGCTGCTGGTTGCGATTACAAGAGGGTTTTTGACTTCAGTGTGTACTCTGATTCATCAAATCTCCACTTTAAATTGTAAAGACTGTTTCATTTCCTTATGACTTTACTTTATTGAACAGTCTTGTTCATTCATCATGCCTTCAGATCAATGATTGAAAATTTCTATATTTTGATAGAACTTCCTAACCTATTTCGAAACTTATTTCTGGTTTGGTTGTGATATCATTGAATGAGTTTTATCGGTGTAGATTCCTTATCGCGTTTGTCTTTTCCAGGATTGGTGTCCACCCTTTGCTGCAGACACTGAGAAGTTCAGGTTTACTCCTCGAGTACAACATGTAACAGCCAAATTGGTACTAGGATTATTGAATTATGTTTTGAATTACAAACATTTCTTGTATTTCGTCTTGCAACACTGCTAAAATTAATTTTCCCTCACAGGAGCGCGAGTGCCCCAACTGCGGTAATTCCAAAAACAATGGTGCTCAGTTGTACTGTTGTCTCTGTTATGATATGTATCATGTGGCCTGTCTAGATCCAATACATGCAGAAAAGGATGATGGTAAGGCACACTGTGTTTGCACAAGTCCTGGAGTACTTGGAAAATGTGATGCAATTTTATCTTGTTTGTTCCTTCCATTTTCTAGATATGTGGTGGTGTTCACGATGTGTGAGAGGTGAGGAGCAGGTCCCACAAGATGCCTCATTGTCGGATCAGAGGTACACTTTGAGTCAGTTTGGCAATCTGGCTGACAAATTCAAATCTGAATATTTTAATTCCCCTCCTGCTGTAAGTTGCCCCGAATTACTGTCTTGTTTCATTTTGAAATTAAGTGCATTCTCAGTGCTGAAAAGTGACCTGTGTCTTTGTTTTGCAGTTAATTGCAGCCAAAACTGTGGAACACGACTTTTGGCGTTTGAAGTCCTCACATGATGAAGAGGTTTCAGTTGAGTTTGGTGATAGTCTTTCAAGTGAGGAGTATGCCTCTGGATTCCCAAAGTCTCACCATCGTTCAGACCCTCCTGTAAGTTTTGTTTGTGAATACTCGTGGTAGCATTGTCTTCTGGTATGTTTCTAAGGCTCTTTGATTTTAATTGCTAGGAAATTCGAGAGTACTTCCGCTCTCCCTGGAATCTCCATAATTTGGCCCGCCTGGAAAACTCAGTTCTTCATCATGTGAAAGAAGCCCAACTCCATGTACCTGTTGTTGATGTTGGCATGTGTTTCACTACTCATGGATGGGTGCAAGCCCCACATTGGTTGTACTCTGTTAGCTATCTGCACTGGTAAGTAATTTTGTGATTTTCATTTGGAATGAGAGAGTTGTGGAATATTAAAATAATGTGTTAATTAATTTAATTTTATAGGGGAGAGCGGCGTACTTGGTATGTTGTGCCAGGAGAGTCTGCTGAGAAATTTGAATCTTTCATCCTTGCCCAAACACCACCCACCCCACTCGCAGTTACTCCTGAAAAATTGTGGGAAGCAGGTATGTACCACATGTTGAAAGAAAATTAACCTCATTAGAATGAAGAAACTAATTCATTTTATTTCTCCAGATTTCCCAGTCTATCGTTTGGAACAGAATGCTGCAGAATTTGTGATATTATTCCCAAGGTCATATCAACTCAATTTTAGTCATGGTTTTAACTTTGCGGAATGTGTTTTATATGCGCCCCCTGATTGGGTTAGTATTTTAAGAAAATGTTGCTTTTGTCAATCAATTATAGATTGTATGACATGTGTTTATTTTTTTCTTTATAGATTGAGTTTGGAGGAGACTGTGAAGCATACTATTCGTCTAAGAGGCGCCCCAATCTATTTTCTCATTCAGAAATACTTTGCAGAATGGCTTGCTCTTGGCCTTGTTTAGATTCTGCTCTCAGACCAGCTGTTTTTGAAGATTTAAAAGATCTGTTGAGTGACCACCGAGTACAAGTTAAGAGAGCTTATAGGAAGGGTGTTACTAATTCATCAAAAGAAATGATGGAAGCCATGCCTTGGGGAGAACGGCGATGTGCTATTTGTCATTCTATCTGTTTCTTGTCGGCCGTGACATGTGTTTGTGATGCTGAGAGAATGGTTTGCCTTGACCATTTGAGTTGTCTCTGTGACTGTGATTATAGCAATTATACTTTAAGGTAGGTTTTACAGTGGGGGCGCATTACAATCTGAGTGTCATGCCCTTATTTTGTCCCCTTTTCTAACAACTCATTTTTTGGTAGGTACCGATACTCTGATGAAGAAATTCCCAAACTGTTGAGTAATCTATCTTGCTGGGTAGAAGAATTAAATACTTGGCAGCAGAAAGTAGCTGAGCTGTATAAGAAGGGGGCTGAAAAAGAAGGTGCGTTTTCTCACTTTTATCCATTGATAGTGTTGATTGGCTATTTACTTTTGCCATTTTCTAATATACCCATTTTCTTTTATAATTTAGATTTGGATGCTTTTAAGAAGCTGTTCTCTGAGGCTCAGGAAAATCAGTTTCCTGAGTCTGATCTCTACCAACGTCTCAAAAGCACCATAGAGGAAGCTACACAACTTGCAGAACTTTGCTCACAGCTGAGCAACAGGAAAGTGAGGACTAGGTAAGTGTCCTTATCCTAGCCTTAAACAACATTACTGAAAAATTGCCATTCTTTCCTGCTTTTACTTGCATCCCCATTACATGATGATAATATTTGCTACCCCTTATAGGACATATACAACAACAGATGCTAAGGTGAAACTGTCACTGGAAGAATTGAATAGTCTTTGTGGGGCTGTGGGAGATTTGGCATGTCGCATTCCTGAGGGAGATGCTGTCATGAGTCTTCTCAGGCGTGCTGAAAACTGTCGCCGCCATGCAGTAGAGTTACTGGCCCAAGATGCACCTGACTCTTCTGAACTTGATGAGTGCTCAGAGCAGGCTGGAGGCCTTGATATTCACTTCCCAGAAGTTTCTGTTTTGAAACAGGTAAGACTCAAAGTTTGGCCATATCAATGTGCTGTGATTTTATAAATGTCAAGTGCCTCTCTAAAATCCTTTTTAATGTTAACAGAGGATTGTACAAGTGGAGTGGTTAGATGAAGTTAATGCTTTGAGAGAGTCACCAGAGCAAGTCACTATGTATGCTCTGAGACGCCTCATTAGTATAGGCATTGAACTACCACCACATACACGTGTAGAACAAGCTCTCACAGAACTGCAAGTTCTACTTCGTAGTGTTGAAGATTGGCAAGAGAGAGCTAAGATTTGTCTTGATGTGAAGTAAGTTCTAATAATTGTAAACCATACTGTTGCTTACCTATTTGGAAACTTTTCACATTGTGTTCAATATTTCAGATGTCGCCAAAACATCAATATCTTGGAATCTTTATTGGAAGAGGCAAAGAATATACCAGCATTTTTGCCAAACATTCAAGTCCTTCACAATGTGCTTAAGAAAGGAAAGGAATGGATTACCAAGGTTGATGCAATGCAGGTTAGTCTACAGAGAAACAATGCTTTGTTAAAATTGTGTTGAAAAACTCAAAATTATATTTGAAATTTTATTAATGTGACTTCAGAAACTCAAGGTTGATTTTGTTTAAATTTGCAGAAATCTGAAGAGTATCCCTATCTTGATTCACTAGAAAAATTAGTGAATGGAGGTCGTGGTATACCTTTGGACTTGGAACAACTGCCACTTCTTGAGCAACAAGTGACTGCAGCCAAAGCATGGAGGGACCGCACGTCACGAACTTTCCTTCGTAAAAACTCTCTTTACACACTTATGCAAGCCTTGGCGCCCCGAACTGTTGTCGGAGTGGAGTCTCTTCATACAAGCAAGACTCTTCAGCAAATGCAATACCAACAGCTGTATCAAGCAAGTGACATTAATTCTGTTGATTCGGCCACAGTTGTTCAAGTTTTCAAGGTATGGTGATAGCAGTTTTATTGGTACTTTTATTTTCATATCTCCCGTTTCCATTCTAAATTTTTTCCTTTCTTTCGGTTTTAATTCTAGAAAGCAGAAATTCAAGAAATGATGTCAATGCGAGAGTTGAGGGCCCAAAACACCCAAAAGCGAATGCGAGATCCTGGCAACGCAGTGTATTGTGTGTGCAGAAGAGGGGCTCATGGCTTTATGCTCCAATGTGAACTTTGCAAAGATTCATTTCATGGTAAATATTATTATCTTATTACCTTACACTGTGCTTTCACTTCTTATAGTCAAATTTTAATTCTGTTGATTTTCCTGCAGCTTCATGTGTGCCTCTTCCAAAGACAACTGGCACTAAAGCTCGTTTATTGACTCCAGCACAGCAGATTGCAGCTGCTGCTTCTCGAGAAGTCAAATTCTTGTGCCCTTGTTGTCTCAGGTCAAGAAGACCACGATTAGAAACCATTCTTTCCCTCTTAGTTACCATGCACAAAGTTCCTGTGAGACTCCCAGAGGGAGATGCTTTAAAGTGTCTCACTGAGCGAGCTATGAATTGGCAGGTCAGACATTGTATTGATTAAATAATAATAATATGCCTTTGTGATAAAGGAGACACCCATTGATTCCCATTGTTTTCGTTTCTTTTAGGACCGAGCACGTCAGACTCTTGCAACAGAAGAACTTGCCTCTGCTCTTGCAAAACTGTCAGTTCTGTCACAGAAACTTGTGGAAGCTGCAGCCCGAGAAAAGACTGAGAAAATAATTTCAAGTGAGCTGAAAAAGGCAGCTAGCAAACCAGAATTAGGAATCAATATGATGGCCATACGAGCTAGTCATTCTTCAGTGAGTTTTTTTACCACTTAGTTTATTCATTCTTTTTGTTCAGCTCATCCTTGGATTTGCCTGTTACTGGAGTAATTTCTTTAATTGATATTGTCTGTTCTTATAGGGTGTGGAAAAGCTTTATTATAATGAAAATGACGAACAGAACACAAGCTTCAGTAATTCTGAACATGCTTACTCATCTGGTGAGTTGTCAATTTTTGCATTGTGATCTTATTATACTCTTTAGTCACTAATTTTGTTACTCAATTTTTACTTTACTTACTTTTTTCAGCGTCTAAGAGTGTTCAAGGACCATGTAACAATTCTGGACCACCCAGTAACAAAGGAAAAGTGAATATGCATGGTCCTCTCCTATCTCTGTCTGATGGAGTTAGAGTCAAGCTGGAAGAGTTAATGATGGAAGGAGACCTCCTTGAAGTGTCTCTTGATGAAACGCAACACATTTGGCGGATTTTACAAGCTACAAAGCCCCCTCAAAACTTCAAATATCCTGACATTGATGTAAGTATCTGATTTATTACTAAAATGATCATTTTTTTTTCAAAAAATAACATTTACTGTATTGATTTGGATTTTCTCTTTCGGTAGGACATTGAGCATGAACTGATGGCTTCTCAAGTTGAAAGAGAAAGGATGATGCATGAACACAAGAAAGAAAGAAGACGCAAGCACAGCGAAATAGATATGGGAACAAGCTACCCTGTGCCTCAAAGGAAACCTAGAATGTCCTTCCCGAAAGATTTTGACAAAATAAGAAGACCACGGCTAAAGGGCATGAAAAAGACTTTCAAGAGAGACATGGGCCCGATGCGGGTGAGTACCTTCATAATTTTAGCAGTAGGCCGTAGTGTTAACTCTGGGTTATGCTAATCTTGAACTTGTCTTTCAGGGCCCAAGAAAGCAAGGCGATGGTAGATCCTTCCAACCAAGAAAGGGAAAACGAGGAACATCAGATGAAGATAATGATGAATGCTCTGCAAGACCATGTTTACATCCATTAGGTAAGGCTTTCACTATTCTCACTTATTTTGTTCCTTTTATTTGTGGCCTTGTGAGTTTAACAAATGCCTTTATTTTTCCCTTTTGCAGAGCGTGAAGTTGACTGGGTGCAATGTGACGGTGGATGTGAGCTGTGGTTTCATCTATTTTGTGTTGGCTTAGATAAGAGAGATGTGAAAGAAGATGAAGATTTCATCTGTAGAGTGTGCCAAGCACGAGGTCCATCATAATTTGTTCTGTGTCATTCCAATGTTGTTGTTTTATAAATGATTATAAAGTGTTAAATTTTCCCTGTAATTTTGAGTCAAGTCAAACATGAATAAATCCCATTATTTTTTATCATTCTCGTTTGGAAGTCACTCCAGGAAATAGTTCATTGAATTACCCAACTCCTACCCAATGCCTTTGAGCCAGCAGTCACTGAACCGGCGTCGAAACTCAAGGACACTTACATTAGGACTTCCCCCTCCCCTTTCCACCACTGTCCCTCCCCCTCCCCTCCGGCCGTCCATTCTTTCTCGCTTCCCCCCGTCATTCTCCTCCTTGCCTCCTTCTACGCGAAGCTTGTGAATGCCGACAGTTCCTCTGATATACACTCAGTCCAATATCCCCCGCGAACAAATCACTTGCAACCCCCTCCCCGCCCCCTCCCCCACCCCGGCCCTGCTGCTACAACGCCAAGCGGCGCGAAGGGCGAAACGAAAATGGATGCCGGCCGAGTAATCTATGTGGCGCACCTGAGCGGCGCATGGCAGCCAATGAACGCTGCGAAAACACTCAATATCAATTTATTTCTAACTCAATTTCAGCGCCGCCAATTTTGCCGATACGATCTGTAAACACTTTGGGCCGTGCTCGGCGTGGCGTGGCGTGGCGATGCGCCCCCATTGAGATACGGCGCACGGTCTCCAGCCGGGCCTAATGTACGAGCAGCGCGGGAAAAAGCGGAGAGGGAAAGGGGGGGGGAGGAAGCAATATCGGTGTCGGACGGGAATATCGCCGGGAACGGCGAACGACCCGGAGACAGAGACACTCGGAGTCGCTGCGACTCGCTGCGACCCGACCAGCCGACCACGGACCGAGACGGGACGGGATTTGCCAAATAAGGGCCAACAAATTCCCTCCCCTCCCCGCCACGTGCGCGCGGTGCGGCGCACAGTGGTCTTGAAAACCGGTGCAGCGGCCAAAACTCTAGACGCGTCTTGAGCTCCAGAGTCGCTAAATGGGACTCGAACCGAACGTGTGACCCCACCAATGGATTGCTCTCCGAACGAGGAATCCATGGGTGGGGTCACACGTTCGGTTCGAGCCCTGTCTAGCGACTCTGGAGCTCAAAACGGGTCGAGAGTTTCGGCCGCCTCCATCGGTCCTCTGGCCCACTGTGCGGCGCGGTGTGCGAGTCCGACAGTCCGGCAGGAAGGGTTGCCCATCTCGACCGATAAAGGGGCGCTTTCTGACCATTCACTCTCGCACGCACACCGCAAGGACTTAGGCCCCACCAGGCGCCCCGGTAGGCCAGGACCAGAAGAACGGGAAGAACAGTCTTACTGGTCTCTATGACTAGTCGAAAGTGACCGTCAAAATGACCGTCAAAATGGTCCTTTCATGTGGTATCGCAGAAGCACCCACCCGCCTTGCGTGTAGGGGAGCATGTCGCGGCCCGCAAAGCACAAAACGGTGCGTTCGGCCCGGTTCGGCCTCGCAATCGCAGGGGCGAGGTAGGCCACCGTCTTCACACTGCTGAGTTGCGGGCCGGATGGGTGGCCTACCTCGCAGGCGCTTGCAGTCCCGACTTGCCGCTGGCTCTCCCTTTCGCTAGACAGGTGCCTGGACGGCATCGGTGTCTTGAGCGGCCGAAAAGTGGTGGCTCTAGGACCCAGAGTGGCGGAGATAACCGCACAGTGAGCCAGATGACCGGGGGAGGCGGTCAAAATCCCGGACGGGTTTTGAGCTCCAGAGTCGCTTAATCGGACTCAAACCGAACGTGTGACCCCACCAATGGATTGCTCTCCGAACGAGGAACCCATTGGCGGGGTCACACGCTCGGTTCGAGTCCTGTTTAGCGACTCTGGAGCTCAGAATGCTTCTAGAGTTTTGGCCGCCGGCGACGGCCTTCTGGCCCACTGTGCCTGCCGCAGTGTAGGGTCCCCTCAGGCCGCCCTGTAGGGCCTGTAGGGCCTGTAGGGCGCGCAGGCGAGGCGTGATACATGGCTGCCAAAGGGCAATAAACAAAATAAAAGAAGCAGGGGCGGCACGGCCGCGCGGCACGGCCACGCGAGTACATGGCTGCCAACCAACGGAACAAAACACAGGCTGGCAGGCTGCAGGCAGCAGGCAGCTGTCAGGGCCGCCAACACAGCGACAGCGGGGCTGATCGTTTCGCACAAGGCAGCCATGTGGATGGCTTGGCGGGGCTGGCGTGGCTGCACTGCGGGGATCATCCCTTCTCGGCCTGCCAGTGTGCCAGTGCTGCCAGCCATATAACGCCGAAGCAGCAGCGAAGCAGCCAAGCTAGCCGAAGGCGGAGCAAGTCCGGTAGACTGATTCCCGGAGTCGTTTTCGTCGCTCTGTCTCTCTCGCACCTACCTATATGGGACGCCCCATGAGTGCGAAAGAGACAGAGGCGGGACGGGGGCGTTACTATTGCCAAGGGCAAGGGGTAGCATTTTTTCATCTGCCCCTTAGAAGATGCGGTGGGTTTCTCCTCTCCGTTAGCCTTCCGAGAAGACTAGGGTAGTTAGGGGTACGCAAGGGGGCCGGGTATGTAAGGGATGGGGTGCGTCGTGACCGGCGTGCCTCTGCACACTCATTGCGAGAGTTGTTTTCGTCGCTCTGTCTCTCTCGCATCCATAACAACGCCGTGAGTGCGAAGGGAGACAGAGCGACAAAAACGGCTCTCGGAATCGGGCTGTTGGGGGTGCGTCCCCCGTTGCGAGTGGCGGGTGTACGGCACGGTGTACCAGTGTACCCGAGAAGTCGTCGCCAAGCCTCCAGGCGGGTGTGGCGGGCGTAGGGTGCATGACAAGAAGGTCGTTTGCTCGGAGGTTGCGTTGCCTTCAGCCCCACCGCGGCGAGTGTGTCACAGTCTCCGATTCAGTGTTGGCAGGTAGCACAGTGGGCCAGAATACCGGTGGAGGCGGCCAAAACTCCCGTCGCGTTTTGAGCTCCAGAGTCGCTAAACAGGAATCGAACGGAACGTGTGACCGCACCAATCGATTGCTCTCCGAACGAGGAATCCATTGGTGGGGTCACACGTTCGGTTCGAGTCCCATTTAGCGACTGTGCCCACTTGCTGGCGATCGCCGTGAGGCAACATAGCAGGCACACTGGAGCGGGGTATCGAATTTCTCGCACGCGGCTCGCGGGAGATAAAAGGCGCTGCCTTTCTATTCTTCAGCCCGCCGAATAATCTTTTCGCCAGCCTCACCGCACGGCAAGCCTGGCGTGCCACAGTGGGCCAGAAGACCGGTGGAGGCGGCCAAAACTCCAGACGCGTTTTGAGCTCCAGAGTCGGTGTAGGACTCAAACCGAACGTGTGACGCCACCAATGGATTCCTCGTTCGGAGAGCAATCCATTGGTGGGGTCACACGTTCAGTTCGAGTCCCATTTAGCGACTCTGCAGCTCAAAACGCGTCCGAGATTTTGACCGCCTCCACCGGTCTTCTGGCCCACTGTGCGTGCCGCACAGCGAGCGGCCAATCGCTGGGCGTGGATCGGGGTAGGGGGCGGAGCCACCGGAGCCACGCGGCGCCACGCGGAGCAAGGTGGAGAGCATGATGCGGTGTTCTTTGGTTTATGGCGTGCCGATGGTATCTTTATTGCCCCGCCCTTCCTCCGCCGTTCGAATCGCGAATCGCGGAGAAGGAGAGAGAACGGGCGCGGGGCTGCGGGGTGGCAGGGCGCTGCACAGTGGGCCAGAAGACCGGTGGAGGCGGACAAAACTCTAGACGCGTTTTGAGCTCCCAGAGTCGCTAAACAGGACTCGAAACGAGCGTGTGACCCCACCAATGGATTCCGCGTTCGGAGAGCAATCCGTTGGTGGGGTCACACGTTCGGTTCGAGTCCGATTTAGCGACTCTGGAGCTCAAAACGCGTCTAGAGTTTTGACCGCCTCCACCGGTCTTCTGGCTCACTGTGGGGCGGCCGACCTGGAGTCTCCTGTTAAGACGAACGGAACCGTCATACAAAACGGTCACCAGGGGTCAAGGAAAAACGGAGGAACGGGCATTTGCCCCTCTGGATCCGCTCTGGCCGATTCATTATTAGTGGACGAGGCTGCAGACTGATTCCTGGAGTCGTTTTCATCGCTCTGTCTCTCTCGCACTCGTGGGGCGCCCCGTACAGGCGCGAGAGAGACAGAGCGGCGAAAACGACTCTCGGAAATCAGTCTGCTGCCCTGCTCTGCTCTGTTCACTTTCCCTGTCGCGCTCACAACTCGAGACGGACTGCAGTGCAGCGGGCCGAGCGGGCCGGAGCGACCACAACACTGTAACAGTGCTGAACGGCACCTGAAGATGCCGGACTCTGGCCACGCACAGTAGACTGATTCCGAGAGTGGTTTTCGTCGCTCTGTCTCCCTCGCGCCTGCATGGGACGCCTGATGAGTGTGAGAGAGACTGAGCGACGCGAACGACTCTCGGAATCAGTCTGCGGGTGTTTCTGACTGGGCGAACCGCCCGGCGGCGCGGCGCGCAGGCGAGAACGCCCCGGAACTCCCCGCTTCGTTGTAGGTACACTGTTAATTTGGACATTCCTCATCGCTGGACTGTTGTCGCTGGAATTCGGTAAAAGCGATCGCTTTCAGTCCAACTCAAAACATCCCTATTTAGAAAAAAAAATTAAGTGAAAATAGGAGGAGTTTTTAAAGTTTCTATATTGTGTTCGGTTTGGTTTCCACTTTGGTGGCGTTTGCATGTTTACATACTGCACCGATATTTGCAGCATATTTCCAGAAGACTGGCTCGTTATCGCAATCAGGCACTGCATGTAGGGCGCGAGAGAGTGCAGCAGTGCAGTAGTAGTGAAGTAGCAGTGCAGCAGGGGGCAATGACGTCAACGAAGGCGCCTCGCCACTTCGCACCAAGCGCATCCTCCTGTTTGAAAATTCTACAGTAAACTACACTTCGAATACCACCTGGGAGATTTCCAGTTGTCGTTCAGGGTTCACTTTGGCTATGCTGGGTTAGGTTACGTTGAGATGGGTCGGGTTGGGTCCTCCGGGGCGGAGCGAGCGAGATCGCGGAAGTGGTGCCAAAGGTAACTTGGAAAACAATGAAAACACCCCCCACCCTCTACCCTGAAAACCCGTCTTGGAAGCTCCGACCCTGAAAACCCGTCTTGGAAGCTCCGACCCTGAAAACCCGTCTTGGAAGCTCCGACCCTCAAAACCCGTCTTGGAAGCTCCGACCCTCAAAACCCGTCTTGGAAGCTCCGACCCTCAAAACCCGTCTTGGAAGCTCCGACCCTCAAAACCCGTCTTGGAAGCTCCGACCCTCAAAACCCGTCTTGGAAGCTCCGACCCTAAAAACCCGTCTTGGAAGCTCCGACCCTCAAAACCCGTCTTGGAAGCTCCGACCCTCAAAACCCGTTTTCCTCGACCCTAAAAACAAACCTTAACAAAATTGGAGCCTCGCTCGACCCTAAAAACCCTGCAAGAAAATCGAAGCCGCGATCCTGAAAACCCCCGTAAGGAAATCGAAGCCCCGACCCGCCTGAAAACCCTTCAAGAAAATCGAAGCCCCGACCCTGAAAACCCTTCAAGAAAATCGAAGCCCCGACCCTGAAAACCCTTCAAGAAAATCGAAGGCCCGACCCTGAAAGCTTCTTCAGAAAATCGAAGCGCAGACCCTGCATACCCTATGAGAAAATCGAAGCTCCGACCTGCCCCGACCCTAAGAAACAAATTTAGAAAATCGAAGCCCCGACCCTGAAAACCCCTTTTCATTAGAAAATCGAAGACCCGACTCGGAGAAACCTTAATTGCTGCATCTGGCTGATGATGCTGGGTGGCGAGCGTCGCGTCACAGTGCGTTGCCTCGCTATCGGTGCATCGCATCGACCTTCAAACCGCGCGGCGCGGTACGCCTCGGCACGGCACGGCACGCCACGGCACGCTAGGGCAGCGCGTCTATGACGGCCGGCCATCGCAGCAACGCATCTCAGCGCCATATCGCTCGGTTTGGCCCAGTGCGCGCGTCCAGGCATCCAGGCATCCAGGCCTCGCCGGGAGCTTTCTAAATAGCTAGATGGACAATTAACACGCCGCTCTCGCGCATCGCCGCCCGTTCGTCGCTCTCTCTCTCTCCCTCGCTCCCTTCCGGACAGCCCCGTGCGTGCGAGAGAGACAGAGACAGACTCTTCCGAATCGCTCGGCTGCCGACCCCGCTGCCGACTCGACTCGACTCGGCGCTAATTTAATTGTGGTTTTAGTAATGCCGACTTTCTCGCGGTGCGGCGCGGTGCCGCGCGGTGCATGGGTGTAGTGCATCTCAACCCCTCTGGCCGGCCAGCGCGCCAGCATGGCGCCAGCAGCGCGTGCAAGTAAAAGTGAAGAGCGCGCTTGCGCCCTCTGTCTCTCTCGCACCGACACGGAACCCACAGTGGGCCAGAAGACCGGCAGAGGCGGCCAAAACTCTTGACGCGTTTTGAGCTCCAGAGTCGCTAAATGGGACTCGAACCGAGCGTGTGACCCCACCAATGGATTCCTTGTTCGGAGAGCAATCCATTGGTGGGGTCACACGTACGATTCGAGTCCCATTTAGCGACTCTAGGGCTCGAAACGCGTCTAGAGGTTTGGCCGCCTCCACCGGTCTTCTGGCCTACTGTGCGCTGGAATGTGTCCCGTTGAAAGCAACAGACTTGTTTTGTTAATGACGAGTGCCGAAGATGTTTTGCAGTGTGGGCGTAAGAGGCAGAGCGCGTTTGTGACGCCGCGTTGCCGACGTCACCGTGGTCACAGACCACGCCCGGCTGCCCACAAGTAGTCCCCCGTAATGCTCGCCAGACCGTGCGGGACACACACACCGCCTACAGTGTCTAACTAAAAAGTTTCAGAGTGTTAATTTTTTATTTTTTAAGAAAATTAAACAATTACTAGAAGGATAAACGAAAAATTTATCGGACGTTTTGGGTTTGTGACAAAAAATATACTGGTCGAACCTCTTACTTCGTTCGAAGCTATCTTCAGCGCGGTAAAAACGGTTCCCGATTTTCCCAGGAACCCACTGGAAATCACCTATGTCTTTACCACATGCTTCCTGCGAAAACCAGGTGAGTACCGTTTCACCGTGAGATCAACTTACAACTCAGGTTAGGTTAGGTTAGGTTAGGTTCGTTGCACGGGCAGTGTAGAATGCACCGGCCGGCGCTCCGACTCGGCCCTTTGCCAGAAGACCAGTGGAGGCGGCCAAAACTCTAGACGCGTTTTGAGCTCTACAGTCACTAAACAGGCCTCGAACCGAACGTGCGACCCCACCAATGGATTCCTCGTTCGGAAATCAATCCATAGGTGGGGTCACACGTTTTGTTCGAGTCCCATTTAGTGACTCTGGAGCTCAAAACGCGTCTGGAGTTCTGTCCGCCTCCACCGGTCTTCTGGCCCACTGTGCGCAAGCAGGCGAAACAAGCGGGCGGGTCAACAACCCTCCCGGTGGACGTAACACCCGAAACGAGCGAGATAGCGAAATTGCGTCTTGAAAAGTGTGAACCCGTGACGGGGCGCCACGAAAAAGCGGTTACGCCACCATTTAATAAACCCGCCTCGGCCGTGGGTGCGCTTTTCGACCATCATGCCGCGTATGAATAACGCACCCAGGCACGGCCGGCACTGCACTGCAAGGCGTAACCCGGCCCGAAACTCACTTTCGTGGCCGCACAGTGGGCCAGAGGACCGGTGGGGGCGGCCGAAACTCTCGACGCGTTTTGAGCTCCAGAGTCGCTGAATAGGACTCGAACCGAACGTGTGACCCCACCAATGGATTGCTTTTCGGACGAGGAATCCATTGGTGGGGTCACACGTTCGGTTCGAGTCCTGTTTAGCGACTCTGGACCTCAAAACGCGTCTAGAGTTTGGTGCCGGCGCCGGCCTTCTGGCCCACTGTGGGCTGGTGCGGGTGGCGCAGGCGGCGCGGGAGGGGGCTGCGGGTTGTTGGCTCCGCGACGACGTCGTTGGCGTTCGCACACCAATTAGGCTCGCCGATGCAGATGTTGTGTCCGGCAGCTTGTCGCGTCGCAGGAGTGCTTTCGCCGAAAAACGAAAGTCGCGATGAAAGTTGGTCCTTTCATTACCGCGCGTCGCCGCGGCGTCGTCGGAGCCGTTCCGTTCCCATGTAAGTGGCGAGCCCGGCGCGGCGTCGGTGGCGCCCAGTGTCACACAAGGCCGCCGACGGCGACATGCGACGCCGCGGCGCCGACCACGCGCAGCACCGCAGCGCACAGTGGGCCAGAAGACCGGTGGAGGCGGACAAAACTCTAGACGCGTTTTGAGCTCTAGAGTCGCTAGATGGGACTCGAATCGAACGTGTGATCCCACCAATGGATTGCTCTCCGAACGAGGAATCCATTGGTGGGGTCACACGTTCGGTTCGAGGCCTGTTTAGCGACTGTAGAGCTCAAAACGCGTCTAGAGTTTTGTCCGCCTCCACCGGTCTTCTGACCCACTGTGCAGCGCCGGCACACTGCTTGTCGTTCTCAGGGAGTGGGCTCTCGATTCCCAACGAGGACCAGGTGAGAAGTGGCGGCGCTGGCGTGACTCCGCGGCCAAGTACGTCGCCTTCTTGTCGGCGGCCGGGAACGCCCCCGCGCACGCGCGCTACGGCTGCCGAGCAGAAAGTCCGAGGATTAAATCGCCGGTGTCGTGAAGCCGATTAACAATGCAGCAGGAGAGTTGGTGCGTAGCGTAAACAGCCATCTCGTGTGGACGCGCGTCCAGGCAAAGACGAGGGCGAGAGTGGCGGGACCTGGCGACCCCGACGCACCTGACGTCGCCTGCATCGTCGGCGGGACTCGAGCTTTCAGGGAAGACATGTCCGGGCCGCAGTGGGGAGCGCACAGTGGGCCAGAAGACCGGTGGAGGCGGCCGAAAGCCCAGACGCGTTTTGAGCTCCAGAGTCGCTAAACAGGGTTCAAACCGAACGTGTGACCCCACCAATGGACTCCTCGTTCGGAGAGCAATCCATTGGTGGGGTCACACGTTCGGTTCGAGTCCCATTTAGCGACTCTGGAGCTCAAAACGCGTCAAGAGTTTTGTCCGCCTCCACCGGTCGGCCCACTGTGGAGCGCCTGTCTTCCCGAATGCGGGCGCTCTGCCGCGCTGCCCCGCCGCCTTCCCCGCCCCGCCCCGCGCCCCGCGGCCGCGCGGTGCCGGAGGATCCACCACCTACCGCGGCCTGCCCGACGGCCAGCTACCTCGCGAGGTGCCCGGCGGCCGGCGTGCCGGGGGAAAGGGAATTTTCACGCCCCACATGCGTCAAATCTGGCGGGCAGCCGGGGCAGGCTCGGTATAAAAGCGAAGGGGCGGCGCCGGATGGGCACAGTCGCTCGCCGGACATCCAGGAGTACGTGTGTGCAGTGCAGGTGCAGTGCAGTGTGTGGACATGTCCCCGTCAGTGTGTGCGTTCGTGGTGGTGGCGGTGCTGGTGGCCGCGGCGTCGGCGCGCCCGTCCGACGAGTGGACGCCCAGCCAGAGCAGGGCCTTCGGCGCGTCGAGGCGGAGCTACTCCGTCGCGGCGCCCGCCCGCAACCGCGTGGCCGCGGCCCCCGCGGCGCCCGCCAAGGCCGCCGTCGTGGAGCAGGCCGAGGAGGCCGCCGTCGAGGACGGCCCCGAAGCGCGCGCCTCGCAGAACGAAGTCGGCGAGGACGACGGCTGGTTCAGCTGGCTGGTGCCGTCCGCCGAGATGCGCGTCGTCGGCAAGGTGTGGGAGGACTGCGCGGCCAGGGACGACACCACCACCTGCCTCAAGGGCAAGGCCCTCACCTTCATGGACCGCGCCGCCCGCAAGGACAGCCTCGCCCTGCCCGGCGGCCTCGCCCTCGTCCGCACGGCCGGCGACGCCGGCGCGGCCACCGCCCCCGTCACCGACGCCGACCTGGAGGCGTCCCTCCCCCGGGAGCTGGGCCAGCGCGACGCCAAGCTCGACCAGATGCTGCTGGACCGCGTGCTCGGCTTCGTCCAGACCCACGCCCTCAGGTTCAACCTCGCCGAGCAGGGTGAAGGTGAGCACGTCGACGACCGGCATGGCGGTGCCGGCCCCAGCGCACAGAGGGCAGCCAAAACCCCGGACGCGTTCTGAGATCCTGAGTCGCTAAATGGGCCTCGAACCGAACGTGTGACCCCACCAATGGATTCCTCGTTCGGAGAGCAATCCATTGGTGGGGTCACACGCTCGGTTCGAGTGATGTTTAGCAACTCTTGAGCTCAAAACGCGTCTAGAGTTTTGGCCATCTACACCGGTCTTCTGGCCCACTCATAACGAACAACGAACCCCACCAATTGCTCTCCGAACGAGGAATCCATTGGTGGGGTCACACGTTCGGTTCGAGTCCCATTTAGCGACTCTGGAGCTCAAAACGCGTCCGGGATTCTGACCGCCTCCGCCCACAAGGCAGCGCCCCTGCGGACGGGCGGGTAGGCAACCAGGGTGCACGCGTGTGTTACGGGCCTGCCGGTGTCCGTCCGCAGGGGCCCGGACCCGGCGACCTTGAACTTGATCCCGACATGCGACCACAAGGGATTCTAAAACCCACGACAAGCTTTCCGTTCTCCGTGCCACTTTCCAGCGTGCACCACACGGTGCACGGGCTGCTGGGCCGGCTGCGGTGTTCATACATTTCGCGCTTCGTTGACGGGCCTGGACTCTCGCGATGCGGCGCGGCGCTGCGCCCGAGATCGTTTATCCGGCCCGTCGCTGCGTCCGGCCGCACCCGCGCATAAAGATGCGTAGCAATGCGTAGCCGAGCGTAGGCCTTTGTTTCGCGGCGTGGACAAGCAAAGGCGGCAAAATCCACGCGGCGAAAGTGGCGTCCGGACGCGCGCGAAATCGGACAGGCTGGCCGGGTGGTCGCTGATCGGTGTCAATAATGCATGCTGTTTGCCTTTGCGGCTGACTTTATTAGTCTGGGCTCTGGCGGCTCTGCTGCGTTCTGCTCTCCAGATGGGCCGATTGTTCGGATGAACGCCGAGGCGTGGCGCGGCGTGGCGTGGCGTGGCGCGGCGCCGCCTTCGGGCTTTACGATCGCGCGTTGCGAATACCGCCCAAATTGAGCGTTCGTCTCGGTGCCGCCGCCGCGCAGCTGCCGCCGATGAGCCACGCCGATGTCGCCGATGATTGCAGCTGCCTGTTGGTGTTGCAGAGCGAGGCATCAAGAAGAAGGACCTGCTGCCCTACCTGCTGCTGGGCAAGCTCGTCGCCTCGTCCATGGTGGCCATGGCCTTCACCGGGCTCGCGCTCCTGGCCGGCAAGGCCCTGATGGTGTCCAAGATCGCCCTGCTGCTGTCCGGCATCGTGGCCCTCAAGAAACTGTTCGGCGGCGGCGGCCACAGCAGCGGCCAGGTGGAGGTCGTGAACCACGGCCGCTCCATGGACGTCGACGACGACGAGGAGCCCCAGGCCATGGCGTACCGAGGCCAGATCCAGAGGCCAGCCACCCGGCGGTCGTAAGCCGACTCGAGCGCGGCGCGGGGAGGGGAGGGGGAGCACCCCGCCAGCGCCCCTGCCCTGCCCGCGCCCCGCCGAGCCTCGCCATCCCCGCAGGGCCCCGCGGAGGGAGGCAAAGCAGTCAAAATCGCGGCGGCCGTTCAGCGGCCTCGGCGCCGAACCCGGCGCCCGATGCAACAAGTCGTTTTGACCCCCTCGGCGGGACGCGCGACCCCGACTAGCCCGACCCGGACGCGGCCCGGCACCGCCTCAGCGGCTGTTGACACACTGTTCCCGGCTCGGGAAGAAGAAAAAGGTGAGGGGGAGGCGCGAGCAAAGACTTGCCATTTTAAAGCCCGGAGCACAAGCCGTGTCCTCCGCTAAATTTCAACTATCATTTCATCCTTAGTCATGTTTTCATTTCCAAAAGTTTTGCTAGACTTTGTTTCTTAAAATATCACTGGCAGGGTGCCCGTGCCCGCCGGCATGCCGCCCGCTGGCCGATGATGGCTTTCCGGTGGATCGGCCCTGCCTTTGTTTCTCCGCGGGCGCGTTCCAGAAGGCGATGCCTCGGCGTCCTCGAGCGACTAGACCGGCAGCGACCGGCGCGCATCGCGGGCGCGTTCGACTCGGCGGCACGCCACTGGCACGCCACGGGCGCGCATCGCGGCCGGGCAAGTTGGCCAGACTGCGCCGCACGGGGCTGCACGGCACACTTGGCCGGAGAATGACCACGACCGACCGATAAGGCGCAGTGTGGCCAACAGAGCGGAACGCACTCGCAATTAATTGGCCGCAGAAAGTAGAGTGGAGTGGAGACTCGCATGGAAATGACGGCAATTTCTCTCTCGGCCTCCGCCTTGGCCTCCGCCCTCGCTCAACTCGCCGCGCCGGGCCGCGCCGGGCTTTCCCGCCTTTCCACGGAAAACTCCCTTGATGCCCTCACTCGAGCCCACGCAGCTCCGCGTGACTTTCCTTGTACGACTTGAGTCAAAAGACGATACCACGACGATACCACAGATTACGTACCTGACCATGCTGTTGACTTGGAGTGCACAGTGTAGGGGCCCTGGAGGGACGGAAGCGGGAGCGAGGCCCTGCCAACCAGCGGCCGGTTCGAGTCTGGCGGGTTGGCAGGGCCTCGCCAGGTATCCTCTCGGCGCTCGGTCCTTTTGCATTAGGAGCCTCCCGCAGTTTGCCTGCCCTGCTGCAAACTTTCGGCGTGCAGAGTTCCTGCACAGCGGTACGCAAAATTCGTCCCCGGTCGCCTCATCTTGCAACTCCAAATCGACAGACGGACAGAACTTCCAAATTTAGTGTCCCAAATTTCTAGCGAGGCACGAGCACTGTTACGACTCCCCTCGACGGACATCTCCCTTCGTTAACTTTGAAAGAAAAAAAAAAGCAGAAAAAGTCCTCTGTCTTTTCTGACTATGCACTTTCGGCCGTTAACCGCTGAGGACAGAGTTATACTTCCCAGGTACTTTCTGAATGACTGATAACGATAGACTGATGACTTAGAAATGACACGATTTCAGACTTCGCCCGCACCGGTAGCACGTGCGACGCCAAACTGAGAATATTGACTGATTCCAACAGATTTGCCATGCAACAAATCTGTCTAGATTCGTTCGGAAGTCTTGCCGAGTCGAATACTTTGAACCTTTTCCTCCCCTTCTCCGCCCTACGCCTTTGTACTTCAAGTTCTTCGTGCATTTTCCCCTCCGCGTGTGTCGGAATTCTGAAATTCAACCCTCGACCAACTTCTTAGTGAATCTTTGTTAATTTATTTAATTTATTTATACATTTGTGTGTGTGTGTATAAATTATTTTGTTGCTTTGTACAGTTATTTATTTCCTGTTCCTGAAAGTGTTTGTTTTTACTTTTCTATGTGAAAATTAAAAAAAATGTTGTTGAACATTTGATTTTTAACAATTGTTCTTGGTACCACGAATGTCGCTAAATCTGGAAAACTTCGCAAATATGAAAACGTCATCAGGACTTGAGCGGTGACTTCAACGCAGGTGGTGCAATGTCATCGATATGTCTTCAGATGCCTCAGCACGGTTTGTACCAGCGACAAGAACAAAAACAAAACTACCTGCCCTGTCGCTGGAGAACTCTCGTAGCAGAGTGGGTAATAGGTTGAGAACAGGTCACAGTCTGATGAGCAGCATGTCAGCCAACGTTGCGTCACAGAACAACAAGTTGGGTGCCGGTGGAAGTTTGAAAATATCGTACCGCAAAATTGAAGCCAAAACAGAGGTGTCCGAAAACAACCTTAAAAAAAGGGCAGCATTATTGCTTGTACCAAATTCATATCAACATCCTCTCACCCGATTAAGTTTTCTCAATTCTCAATTTTGAGAATTATTTAAATTGAAAATATAACTAGCCCGTGCGTTGTCAGTCTATTTTGAGCTAACTCACGTAGCTCCATCGCGCCAGAAATATTGGAAATCGAACGCTGATCATCTGTGGTCGGAGTCGACGATTCTACACCTCGGCCCGCGGTGGCACATCTAGGTGGCCTTTCTTTCTGAGGTCCAGT